GAAATGCCTAATTTCACGTTTATGGAGGTCGTAAACAAGCAATGACAAACTCTTCTTTCTCTTTCTGAACTTTGATAAGGCTCTTAGGAAGTGAACTCCAGGAGGGTTCGCATACATTTGAAAAACTAAGTGAGCTGGAATAATTGCGATGCTTGAAAAAAACGGAATTTTGCAGTGTAATTTGAAAGTGTTGTTTACCATTTAACCACCTTTAATGTTATTAACCCTGTGTTTACTCATTGGCTAATTTGTCAGGTATATGCAAAGGATTACTACAAGCTAAACTGAGGCTTGTCTAAAATAAGCATAGTCTAATTGGATGAACCGGCTTTGAGCTGTAATCGGTATTTTAGTGCAATGCCGCAGTTGATTAATTAAGATTCGGCACGTTCAGGTTCAGATAAGTTTATTTTTGTGTTGCCTTCGGTGGAAACCTAAACGGGCCTTCATCAAGTGAAATCTTCATTGAGGAGTCGACTTGGAGTTCATAAAGTAAGCATTGAATATCTAAACAACGGTTAAGATAAACGGTAAAGATAGATTCGGCACGTTCAGGTTCAGATAAGTTTATTTTTGTGTTGCCTTCGGTGGAAACCTAAAACGAGCCTTCATCAAGTGAAATCTTCATTGAGGAGTCAACTTGGAGTTCATAAAGGTAAGCATTGAATATAGATAAGAAGTGATTAGCCGAGTTTAGCTCTTACTTCGTTGTGGAAAGGTGGCCCATAGAGCATTAAACCGTTTCACCCATGATACATTTACGTATAAAAGCACCACAGTTCAAACTTTAGAATGCGAGGGTAGGGATCAGGGCATGACAATTTTGTGCGCAAGACATGTTTTTTTCAGTCGATGCAGTCTGTCGTTTCCAAACTAAGCACAAGGGCCCAAAGCTTGTAGCCTTTATCCACTCCATAAACTTCTTGCCCGGGGGGAAAGGGTGGGTACCCCCTTATATAAGCCATATAGGTATGTGCCGCCCCAAAGGGTATGGTTTAGGGGCCTTTTTGGTCTGAAAACGGGTATACACTTTGCCAATTTTGGTCTTGTGTCGGGTATGGTTTTCGAGGGACTTACGGGAGTGTATGAACGTATTTACTGCTTCAATTCCAAATAAATAAGAACGAAATAGAAATATGCGAATTCTAACTACATTTGTGGAATTTTTTGTTTGCGCTGTAATCTTAGTATTTATGATGACATAATTTCTGCCAAAAGGCCAAGTCTAAAAAACGGGTAAAGATTTTAGAGGTCTGATCTGAAAACGGCTCTGGAAAATGACATTTTTTGGTCCGAAATAGCGTCAGGATTTTGAGAACCGGGCGTCACACCCCAAGCAAGAATTCCCAGGTGTACCCCCGGGCTTCTTTCTGAATGAATTTAAAAATATTGGGTGCCTCCAATACCAAACCAACTGACGACGACTTATCGGGTAAGGGAATGACTCTAGTTATTCGCCATTTTTTTCAGCAAAATACTTTTGCTTTGTTATGTAATTGTGATTTCATAATACATTCCCTCACGAATCGTAATTATTATGATGTTTACTTTGCGTGAGATGTTTATCTATTCGTCTGGCGGTTTTATGACATGCTGTTCAGCTATAAGAGTTCCCTAATTAATTAACGGCGCTTTCTTGCTCGTGTTCCGGGTGTGCGCGTGTGCGTATGTGGGGCGGGGGGGGAGGGTTGCGGTGGTAACTAACTCGAAACCTCAAATTGCTAACGGCACGTAGATTCAGGCTTGGGTCCAGCCGGAAGGACAATTGACCTAAAAGCTAACTTGGCTATCCCTGGAAAGGGTGGGGGTGGGTTGGGGAGACGGGGACTCACACGAGGGTAGAGGTGTTAGGGTTAGAGAGAGCCGAGACCTCAAACGCTGACCCGTTTAAGACAAAAATTGCTCATTTGGCTTCCATGTCGACCGTAGGACAAGGGACTTAATTTCATGACCCTTTATCTTTTTGTTTTGCATGCAGAATTAAGCCCCTTTTTAAGCTAAAACTCTAATGGATTGGATTTTCTGGCGAAAAAAAAATACTGACTGTTGGTACCACAATAGTAGATTGCTCATCGCCAATCACCAACCTTCTCACTCAGTTAAAGGCTTCTGTCTAAAAAGACACCCTATTCAAGACGCTAACTAGTGAAATTGTATACCTTGTCTGAGGCTCAAGACCCTAAAAATCATACGCCCTGTTTAGGCCCACATACCCGTTTAGGCCAAACAAGGGAGTGCCATCCTAGACCCTAACGCGAAACCTGTAATTAAAAACACTAATTCTCAAAAGATAGCAACCCCTGTGTTAAATCTTGGCCTTTTAAAGACAAAAGGCAAGATACACGTCCTGTTGGTTCTATACCAACAAGTCAGGCATTTACACCCATTTTGGACTAAGCTGCCCTATGGCTATATACACTTCATGAGACCGCCCTGACACGTTTCAGGCTCAGAGGGGCCAAGAAACAACACCCTGTCACACGGAACTCCATCTCCCCCCCCCCCCCCCCACCCCCCCCCCCCCCCCCCCCCCCCCCCCCCCCCCCCCCCCCCCACCCACCTTTTCCCTCTCGATTCCCTAGTAAAAAAGTAAGAAAAAAGAGAAATACCCACACCACTACACACCCAACAACACAACACCACCAACACACAAAACAAAACACAAAACACA